GAGGGCACTGCCTTGAGTTGGGGAGAGGGGAACTCAGGGGTCCAGGGTGGTTATAGGGGAAAATTGGAGAGGGTGTTGGGACCTAGGCTTCTGGGGCAGCGGGTGGAGGTGGGGTACTGGGGCAGGCTGGGTGCTGAGGGGGTGGTCCTGGGGGGTATGGGATGGGACCCAGGTAAGGCAGGAGAGGTGGGGAGGATTGTGGGGAAGAACCTGGAAGCTGGGTGGTTGTTGGAGGTTCTTGGGGGTGGGGTTGTAGTGGATCTAGCGGTCCAGGGGCTGACTGCCCTCCCTCTCACAGCACTGGCGCTGGCCATGGAGCGGGACGGCTCGAGTGGCGGTGTGGTGCGGCTGGCAGCCATCACCGAGCGTGGGGTTGAGCGCCAGGTGCTGCAGGGGGACAAACTCTCACGCTTCTCATCTGCTTGAGACCAGCGCTCCCCGGGGGCCCAATAAACTGCTCTTGGAACCTTTCCATGGCTGTATCTGCGCGCTCTGTGCTGGGAGCCTGGATGCCTGCGTTCTCTGGCTATGGGAAGGGGTGGGGGGCTCTCTTAGCTGGGCTGGTGCCCCTCACTCTTGCCCTATAGGCCCTGCCTTTTTCACCACATGGTCAAGCTCTGTCCCCCTTGAAACTAAGGAGGGAAATACCTCCCTTATGTCCTCCCCTTGTATGCACACAATTGCAGCTACCCTGTGCTGCCCCTTGCACATGTGCAGTAACGTCCAGCTCCTTGGCAGCTGTGTGGTGCCTACGCTGCCTGGTTAAGCTGCTTCCAGAGTGTGATGTGGCTCCATGGTTACTGTTGCCTTGGCCTAGCCCAGCCACAGACGGGAGTGTTTCCAGGGGAATTGTCCCATGTGCCCAAGAAATAAGCCAGAAACAGCAAACCCCATGCAGCAGTGATGTCACTGGGCAATTTCAGTGGAGATCCTTAGGAGCACAAACCCGTGCTCAATGCTAGATGGGGAGGCAGGGGCAGGGGCCTGTGGGGCAGGAGTGAGGAGCACTGACAGGGGCTGCAGGTCAGAAGTGGGGCACCCACCTCTGTCCCCTTCCCCCAGCATTGAGCTGAATGTGCCCCCTCTGGTGCTCTCAGCCCGTCTCTTCACCACTACTTTCTGGAGTTCAATGCCAGCAACTTTGTGGCCAGTTGAGATCCGTACCAGGGTGGGCAGGCAAGATCCTGGCGCCGCCCCCCCCCCTGCTTCCCAGAGCTGCTGTGCCTAGCCTGAGATCCACCCCAGAGCCAGCTGCCTGGGCCAGCCCCTGCCACATGGAGCTGAGATACGTCCCCCCACCCCTCCTAGGTGTACCTGGTATGGGGCAGAATGCTGCTCTGGCAGCCAGTCTCAGTCTCCAGGAAAATTGATACTACTAGTTGGGCATGAGCCAGGATGAGTGCCTACACTATGTTAGCAATGGTAAACCCCACTCCCCTCCAGCAGCTGGTTTAGGCACCCTGTAGGCAGACGCAGGGGATCAGGAAGGTGTTTGGGGGGTGGGGGGGAACCTAGGAGCCTAGGGCAGGAGGGTTGGGGGGG